ATCCCATCTGCAGGCTCCAAGAGGGGTAAAAAAATAGAGTATAGCTCTGGTGTTTACCAGAATTTGGCAAAGTTTTTCACTAATTTTAATTGTAGTTTCTATTGGCTATTTAAGGGAATAATGTAGTAATTTACCAGAAAATCTCTCAGCGCTCCATCCACTTTGGGAGGGGTCTATGTGAGGTCTTCCTTTAAAGGTAGATATGAGGGTGTCTGTAAGGCCGTTAAACTTGGTGAACTTTGTTTATGGTCATATAGTCTTGTTTTGGGTGTGTCATATCTTTAATTTGTCATTAACTTTTTGAAATGGAAGTACATTTCTTAAATGATCTAATCTAATTGGAACATTCCTGATAATAACCAGTGCTATTTCCCTGAGAGCTGACAGCAGTTTGGTGGGACCCTTCGCTGCAAATGGAGCATCACCCACGTTTCTGTCCAGCCTTATCTAGCTGCACATGGGGTGCAACTCACTCTTCTATCCAGCCTTGTTTTGGGACCAACCTGGTCGTTACCAAGCCAACCTCTGAGGACACAAAAAATCTTAGTAAGATTTTGCTATTTTGGGGGATATTTATAGCTTCCAGGAACAGAGTTCTTAGATATAGAATAAGCAGATGAGCCTGAAGTTGGCACACTTAATTGAACGTTTTAGATTTTAAGAATTCTATTTCTTTTCGCTAAAGGTTAAAGCTTCTATAAATCTTTGAGATTCCTAGTTTGTTGCAGGGCTTAATGGCAAACCCCTAATGCATTATAATATGCTGCTCCTTCCTGAAAATATCTCCAGTGTGAATAAGGTGGAGGGGGAAACTATAATGCCCCTTGTCCTTTCTTTAGGCTTGGTACCTTTGTCCTTTCTGTTAGAAAAGGATTTCTAAATTTTTGTTGTCTGCAGTTTTATTAAGGATTAAAGCTTGGTGTCGTTTCCTATGTGGAAACATTAAAATTAAATTAATTTTTAAAAGCAAAAGTTAATTAAAAATAATGATTGACAGTAGGAAAATATGTATATATAAATTTCTCTCCTTGTTTTAAATAAATTATGCATGGAAAGGTTAAAAAAATTTGTTACAGAGGAAACCAACTTAAGGAGACTCCCTGCCTCCATGTCCTGCCCGGCTCCTCTGCTCTCACTCCAGCCCCCCTCAAATGACCAGTTTTGATCACTGCTTCATCATCCTGTTAGTGTTTCTTTATGTAAGAACAAGCCAGTGTGAATGCCTGTTTTTCTTATTCTGTCTATTCTTGTACTGAGTGCCCAGGGTCCACATCTTTGGTGTTTGGCTTCTGAACACTTAAGCCTCACCCCTCCCTTTCCCCTAGGCCTTCTTGTCTGGACGGGCTGATGAGAAAGCCTGGAGGCTCCTGCACTGTGAGCTGCTGCTTGCTGGGCAGCTCCTCCTGTGAGCTGTGCTGCCCTGTGTGCACTGTTCACCCACCACGCCTGGTTCTATGTACAGAGAAATCCTATTTGGCAGTTTTACTTCCTTTGGGAGCAGGAGTCTGGGAATGGGGCCCTCCTTAATGCAGTCCTGGATTATATAGTTTCTTTGTGGAAACTATCTGTGTGTTTAGAGTGAAGGTGAGACTGCGGATGGGGTCGCCTCAACATTATGGGGGAGCCTGGGGTTATGAGGACAATTGTATCCTGTGAATGAGCTGAGCCCATCAGTTGGTCACTGGTTAAAGAGCAATAATTTCAGTGAGAAGTAAGAGACCGGTTAATGCAGCCAGTATGTAGCAAGATTACAGAGGGCTCACTAGGACTCTTAAGTCACTCTGCTGCTGCTGCCCCTGTGTCTGTTGCAACAAAGAGCCTGACCCTCTGGGTTATAGTGGACAGCACACACAGTCTGAGTTTGACCCAGCAAAGCGATTATTTCAAACTCAACTTAAGCCTGGGGTCCTTAAACTCTATGAAGCAACTAGTTGTCACGGAGGAGGCCTCTAACCCTGACGGCAGTGATTTGAGGCTCTCTGGAGGAGGGCCTTAAGTTGTCCATAGGCTTCTGATGAAGGAAACTGCCCTGGTCCCCACATTATATGCTGTTAGAGCTGCTATTGTCACCAGGTACTGAGATCTCTTGAAAATAGGGGCTCTCACAAACACTGAGCATGTGACCCTCTACCAAGGTGCCTATTATGCCTTTGGCCCTAGGAACAGCCTCCCTAGCAGCTCAGGCTGGCTACTGACACCTACTTGTGTTATGATGGAGCCTAATCTTGGTCCTGTAGCTTATGCCACCTGCAGGAAGTACATGGCATTTCTTCAGTTGATTGAAATATGCTAGGGTGATAGAGGACGTCACCCCCTCTCCCAGACTCCTTGGTTCCCTGGTAGTTCCTTGGGATTAACTGAATGCACAGCACTGGGGAGTACATAGACTTTAAGGACAACAATGTACATTCATATGTGATGGAACTCAGTGATGAGTTGCTCTTCATCCCTTAATTGGGACATCCCTGATGAAGAACCAAACACAAGTGTCACCAGATCTAACCAAACATCAGGCAGTCATTTTACTACCAGCCAAAAAATGGCCTCATCTGCATGTGTTCACAAACTGTTGGATGATGTCTAAGAGTTTATGAAAAAGGGAGATGCCCCTTTCTGGTAAAAAAAAAAACTCTGGGAATCTCTTTAATCAGAGATAGTCAAAAGAGGAATCAAGGTAATTCTTGTCTATACATTACTAAATCTGCAATACAAGGACTCACCAGGACACTTGTTATCCACCTTGGAGTTGTGACACTACTGAGAGTGACTGTGGCACCTCTCAGAGAATACAGTGCCCTGCTCTCCAACAAGGCATTTGGTGCAAGTTTCACCTCTGTTATGGGTCTCAGGCTCATAGAGCACCATACTGGCTTATTGAAATCAGTTGGATGAGAGATGTCCTGTTTCAGTCATCGGGGTGAATTGAAATGCATCAGTCTTCATCTTGTTTTTGAAAGACTTCAGTTTTCTTTAGAGAAGTTTTTCATTTTCAGAAAAATTGATCAGAATTTACAGAGTTCCCACATAACCCTTCTGTCTCCATCCATAGAGTTTGCACTCTTTTTCCCATTTTGTATTACTGTGGTACATTTGTTACAGTTTCCAAATGTATGTGGATGCATTACCGTGCTCAGTGTACATTAGCATTGACTCTTTGTGCTATATAATGTATGGGTTTTGGTAAATGTATAATGACATGGATCCATCATTTGTGTATCATAGAGTGTGGTTTCACTTCCCTAAAAATCCTCTGTGCTCCGCCTGTTGATTCATCCCTCCCTCCAGCTCACGAGTTCTTCACAACCAAAGGTCTTCCTACTGGCTCATACTTTTGTCTTTTCCAAAATGTCACATACTTGGAATCATAGCCTTGTCACATTGGCTTCTTTCCCTTAGCAATATATTTTTAAGTTTCCTCCATGTGTTTGCATGGCTTGATGCCTCATTTCTTTTTATCAAGGATCAGTATCTGATTGTATGGATGTACCACTGATTGTTTTTGTCTATTCGACTCTTGAAGGATATCTCGTTTAAAACTGTAACTCTTGCCATTTATGAATAAAGTGCCTATAAACATTCATGTGTAGCTTTTTTGTGAACATAAGGTTTCAGTTCATTTGGAAAAATACCCGAGTGGGATTGCTAGATCTTACTCTATGTAGTAACAATGTATTTTATTTATTTATTTATTTTTATAATTTATTTTTATTTTTCCCCCAAAGCCACAGTAAATAGTTATATGTCATAGTTGCACATCCTTCTAGTTGCTGTACGTGGGACGCGGCCTCAGCATGGCCGGAGAAGCAGTGCGTAGGTGCGCACCCGGGATCCGAACCCGGGCTGCCAGCAGCGCAGCGTGCGCACTTAACCGCTAAGCCGCGGGGCCGGCCCACAATGTATTTTATTTTGAAGGAAATTTCCTGTCTTCATTATAGGGATACCAAATCTCATTTTCACCAGCAATGAATGAGGAGTCCTGTAGCTTCGCATCTTCACCAATATTTGGTGTTGTGAGTGTTTTGAGTTTTACCTATTTAATTAGTTTTTATATGACTCTTTTTTTTTTTTTTAATTTTTTATTTTTTCCCCCAAAGCCCCAGTAGATAGTTGTATGTCATAGCTGCACATCCTTCTAGTTGCTGTATGTGGGACGCGGCCTCAGCATGGCCGGAGAAGCGGTGCGTCGGTGCGCGCCCGGGATCCGAACCCCGGGCTGCCAGCAGCGGAGCGCTCGCACTTAACTGCTAAGCCACGGGGCCGGCCCTAATTAGTTTTTAATGATAGTTCACTGTTTTATTTTCAGTTTTCCAATGACATTTGACGTGGAGCTTGTTTTTATTTTGCTTATTTCCCATCTATATATCTTCTTCAGTGAGCTGTCCAGATCTTTCGCCCATTTTTTAATTGGGTTGTTTTTGTTCTTACTTTTGAGTTTTAAGAGTTCTTTGTATATTCTAGATACCAGTCATTTATCCAATAAGTGTTTTACAAAGATTTTTCTCTTACTCTGAGTATTGTGTTTTTATTCTCTTAACAGTGTCTTTCTCAGAAAGGAGTTTTTCATTTTAATGAAGTAAATTTTGTTTTTTCTTTTATGGACCTTGCTTTTTGGTTTTGTATTCATCTCCAAATGCAAGGCCATCTAGATTTTCCCATGTTATCTTGAATGTCATGTAGATTTCACCCTCTGCCTCATGGAGTGCTGTAACTAGTGGGTAATAAGGAAGAAGATGAAAGAATTTTAATTATAGGGAAACCTTGGTCTTAAAATGATAATATTTTTTTCATGGTATAGCATTTCTGTCATTTCCTAACATGCTCTGGACCCTGCCATTAAAAAGAAATATGTAATGGGATCACAATAAAAATGTGTAACTATTTTCCATATGTTCGTAATGCTTTTAAATTGATGAGAAAGCGTGCATAGAAAAACAGTGAGTTTTTGATGATCATGTCATTCAATAAGTGTTTGGTGATGACAGAATCATGCGTAACTTTCTTACAAATGGAGTATAGATCCCCAGTGCTTTCAGTCTTATGCATCCTACTCTACACATGTTTGTGATGTTTTAGGACTCAGTGACCATTGAGGATGTGGCTGTGAACTTCACCCCAGAGGAGTGGGCTTTACTGAATCCTTCACAGAAGAAACTCTACAGAGGTGTGATGTGGGAAACCTTCAGGAACCTGGCCTCAATAGGTAAGAACGAGGACACTCCTTCCCTTCATCAAGTAGAGAACAAGTGTTTCTTACCCATCAACACTGTTGCAAGATGGAGAATGTTGAAAGAGGTGGATGTTAGTAAATAAACTAGAAATGGTCAAAGCTTGTCATGGACTTAGAATCTAAAAATTTTTCTAAAATTTCTAATATCTTTGGAATCAATTCTCTGGGTCTGCATTTCAGGTAAAACATGGGATGATCATGATATTGAAGATCAGTACAAAAACTGGGGGAGACAGCTAAGGTGAGTCATGCTCACAATAGAAAGTAGTGTCTCACATGAGAATTCTGGTATTTTATGAAAATTTGAAAAGAGGCAAACAAAACAAGTAATCCTTGTTTCAAATATAGTTATTAGAAAATTTTCAGCAAATATGCTTTCTGAAATGTGATGTAGGGGTTCAGGTTTTGCAAAATAGTTCACTTGGAAATGTATTAATGAAGCCTATATATGAATATCACTGTTTGGATAATAACAAAGTGAAGTCTTCTTGCAGAGCATTCAGTATATTCATTTTCTAAGCATGCAGAAAAGTCAGAAAACCTAAACTTTTCTTATAAATCATAATAAATATAACAACTATAAATCATTAATGAAGAAATCATTAATAATGTGCTTCTCATTTTTTACAGAAGTCATATGTTAGGGAGACTCTGTGAGACTGAAGAGGGTAGTCAAGATGGAGAAAACTTCAGCCTTATTCCAAATCTCAATCTGAACAAGAAAACTACAGGAGCTAAACCATGTGAATGCAGTGCATGTGGAAAAGTCTTCATGCATCATTCATCCCTTAATAGGCACATTAGATGTCACACTGAACACAAACCATATCACTATCAAAAATGTGAAGAAAAGCCATATAAATGTAAGGAATGTGGGAAAGCCTTCACTTTTCCCCATTTGCTTCGAATACATGAAAGAACTCATACTGGAGAGAAACCCTATGAATGTAAAAATTGTAGTAAAGTATTCATTTCACCAAGTTTACTTAAAAAACATGAAGGACTTCATACTGGAAAGAAACCCTTTGAATGTAAAATATGTGGTAAAGCCTTCAGGTTTCCCAGTGATGTTCAAGGACATGAAAGAAGTCATACTGGAGAGAAACCGTATAACTGTAAGACATGTGGGAAAGCCTTCAGTTTTTCCTTTAGTGTTCGAGTACATGAAAGAATTCATACTGGAGAGAAACCCTATGGATGTAAGGAATGTGGGAAAGCCTTTATAACTCCCTCAAGCCTTCGAGCACACATGATCACTCACACTGGAGATGGGCCTTATAAATGTAAGGAATGTGAGAAAGTATTCATTTCTCCCAGTATATTTCGAATACATGAAAGGAGTCACACTGGAGAGAAACCCTTTGAATGTAAAGAATGCAGTAAAGCATTCACTTCTTCCAGTTCTCTTCGAAAACATGAAAGAACTCATACTGGAGAGAAACCCTATGAATGTAAAATATGTGGTAAAGCCTTCAGTTTTTCTAGTAATGTTCATGTACATGAAAGAACTCATACTGGAGAGAAACCCTATGAATGTAAAAAATGCAATAAAGCATTCATTTCTCCCAGTTTACTTCAAAAACATGAAAGAATTCATACTGAAGAGAAAAGCTTTGAATGTAAAATATGTGGGAAAGCCTTCAGGTTTTCCAATTCTCTTCAAATACATGAAAGAACTCACACTGGAGAGAAACCCTATGAATGTAAAAAATGCAGTAGAGCATTCTCTTCTTCCAGTTATCTTCAAATTCATGAAAGGAGTCACACTGGAGAAAAACCGTATGAATGTAAAAAATGCAGTAAAGCATTCACCTCTTCTAGTTCTCTTCAAATACATGAAAGGAGTCACACTGGAGAAAAACCGTATGAATGTAAAAAGTGCAGCAAAGCATTCACTTCTTCCAGTTATCTTCAAATACATGAAAGGAGTCACACTGGAGAGAGACCCTATGAATGTAAAAAATGCAGTAAAGCATTCACTTCTTCCAGTTATCTTCAAATACATGAAAGGAGTCACACTGGAGAGAAACCCTATGAATGTAAAACATGCAGTAAAGCATTCAGTTGTTCAAGTTCTCTTCGAAAACATGAAAGAACTCATACTGGAGAGAAACCCTATGAATGTAAAATATGTGGTAAAGCCTTCAGTTTTTCCAGTAATGTTCATGTACATGAAAGAACTCATACTAGAGAGAAACCTTCTGAATATAAAAAATACAGTAAAGCATTCACTTCTTCAAGTTCTCTTTGAAAACGTGAAAACTCATACTGGAGAGAAACCTTATGAATGTAAAAAATGCAGTACAGCATTCACTTCATCCAGTTCTCTTCAAAAATGTGAAATCCTATGAATGTCAGTAAAATGAGAAATTGTTTATCTCTTGTGAAAACTTTCTAGGATATGTAAGAATCCACACCAGAGGAAAACCCATGTAAATGTAAAGAATGAAGAAAAGCCTTTTGTCATCCCAGTTCTTTCTGAAGGCATGAAAGGACTCACTTGATAAAACCTTCTTGAATATAAACAGCATGAGAAAGACTTCAATTGGCCTATGTCCTTCTATGTGTAACTTCTAACCAGAAAGAAATATAAATGTAAGTCATATGAGAAAGCTTGATGGAAATTAATTCATATGTAATGTTCTAGAAAACTTTCAACATGAAAGATGTTATAAAGTTGTAAATATATTGTTTTCCATGCCTCTTTTTAAAATAGCAACATTGGATTGTGGATTTCTATGAATTACTTTCAGAAAAGAATATTGAGGTGAGATAATTCTGCAAGTCAGCCGTCGTCAATACTGCATAAAGATTAATAAGTGGTGCTTTTTTCTTAAATCACTTAATAATATTTTCTCTTTAATTTTTTTATAATGTTTTAATTGTTCTGTGTTAAGGGGCCATTGAAAAATGACGGTGTGTATTTGTTGGGATTTTCTTACTGGCCTTGTGTTGCAGATCCTGGATATGCCTAATCCATGGCATATATTGTTTCTTTATTAGAGGAAGCTCCTTTTTTGGGGTGGTGGGCATAGGAGCTTATTTTTATTTTCCATACTATTAAACAGTTGGAATAAATTTTTATGTATGGGAAGTTTATCAATGAGTAAACTTTCCTGTGAATTCTCATTTTCATATTTGGGCCTTTGCTCTTGGTCCTCCCTTCTGACTGGTATTTGGTGAATAGACTTTGAGTTAAGTAGAGGCCTGTGATAGGGCAACAAAATCTAGAGCTGGACACATCACCCCTGTATTGTGTTATGTCAGTAAGGGTAATATGAAGAACTTCATCTTCAAGAATCCTCCCTTTATGGTTCCATGTTGGAATTCACCAATAGCCTCACTTGCATGAGATTTGGAAGGGAGAAGCAAACAAGGCATTAGGCAGATTTTGGAACCAGCATACAAGAAGAGAGACAATTATGTGTCCTCTCGAGGACACCATCTTCCAGCCCATTTCCTGATTCTTTGCCCTTCTAGTCAAGAGTATCTTGAAAACCACCACTAACTGTTTGATTTTCATTTTCTTAATGATGTATTTTCCAATATGTTTTCACAACTTTCGTATCCAAGATCCACTAGAGTTGGGATTTTTCTATAAGGCCTCTTGTGTCCACCAGCGAACTTATTCAGACATTTGTGCTTAGGAGTAGTCTCTAATTCCCCTCTTCTCTGGATGATATCTGAATAAGGTTTAATGTGTATAGGAAACACCTTATGCTGTTAATAGTGCTAGTGAGTGTGTTTTCCTGAATCACCATGATGTCTACAATAGAGCGGTAAAAAAAGGGATGTGGGAGTTTGTTTCTCTGCTGCATTGTGCATTGGCTGCCTTGACCCAGTTCTTCCACATGAGAACAATCACCTTTCTCATGTCAGGAATATGGTGTGTGTTTCGTGTTACTTGTAGCTGAACGTATTCCCTCAATGTGTTTTCAATAATGTTTGATTGTATGTTATTAAAATTTTATACATTTCCTTGAGAAATGAACACTACTCTGGTTTTTTCATTGATATATTTTATCAACTGTTTTCTAATACATCATATGCTAATAAATATTATGGTTTTCATTTCCTCTGAATATATTAAATTTCATTTTAATTATGGATTTTCAGATATACTTTGCAGTTTTTTTCGTTTAATTGTTATTCATTATGAGTCAATTTTATCATTTGCATACTAATTCATGTTTCTTTTCTCAGGCAAACTTAGTATTTTATTCTTTTTTAGTTGCTATTTTTGTCATAAAACTAACTTCTCATTTATTCTTCACCTAAAACTTAAAAATCATGGATTTTTCAGTGCCCACTTGCCAGTGACCTGCAGGATTGCACCTCTAGTCAAAGAAAGGGGTGTAATGAATTATAGTAAGAATGACTACAGACCATAAAGGACTGTGAGGTATAAGAGTTAACAGGGTTTTCAGAAAGACTTCTTACAAGATTTCGGCATGTGGTTCTTGATTTGATTGCTATTCAAGGAAGCAAGTCATTTTCTGTATTGAGTGCTATGAGGAGGTAAGCTTAATTCTGTCTTTGGCAAGCATTTTATTTTTGGTAAACCTAATCAATGTTTTCTAGGAGGCAGAAACAATGCAGTGGAGCTAAAGTTAATTTGTAAGAAGTTCCAGTCAGTCATTTTAGCAAGAAGAAGGAAATATTAGTCATTTTTGATTTGGAATTTTATCTTTTACTGTTTGTACTAGTATGTTACAGAATATTTTTAGTTTTTTCTTGGTAACTGTGTACTTTTTTGTGTGTGTGTGAGGAAGATCAGCCCTCAGCTAACATGTGTGCTAATCCTCTTTTTGCTGAGGAAGACCAGCTCTGAGCTAACATCTATTGCCAATCCTCCTTTTTTTCCCCCAAAGCCCCCCAGTAGATAGTTGTACGTCATAGTTGCACATCTTTCTAGTTGCTGTATGTGGGACACGGCCTCAGCATGGCCGGAGAAGCGGTGCGTCGGTGTGCGCCCGGGATCCGAACCCGGGCCGCCAGTAGCGGAGCGCACGCACTTAACTGCCAAGCCACGGGGCCGACCCTGGTAACTGTGTACTTTTTTTTTTTTTTTTTTAAAGATTTTATTTATTTATTTTTTCCCCCCAAAGCCCCAGTAGATAGTTGTATGTCATAGCTGCACATCCTTCCAGTTGCTGTATGTGGGACGCGGCCCCAGCATAGCCGGAGAAGTGGTGCGCGCCCGGGATCCGAACCCGGGCTGCCAGCAGTGGAGCGCATGCACTTAACCGCTAAGCCACGGGACCGGCCCGGTAACTGTGTACTTTTGATGAAGGAGGTTTGTGAGATTTTTCTCTTCAGCAGGATGAGACTTGGCCTTGCAGTGACAGCAGGCAGCTCCTGGTCCTCTGGGACAGCTTTTGTCTTTCCTGCTTATTATCAAAACACTGATGTGTTTCCTACGGTGTATTTGACACTGTTGACCATAAAGTATTTCAGTTAAAATACGTATGTTCAGTTCTTAGTATCCTACGTAAATTTTTGCTTGAGGAAGATTCGCCCTGAGCTAACATCTGTGCCAGTCTTCCTCTACTTTTTGTATGTGGGTCACCACCACAGCATAACTGATGATTGGTGTAGGTCTGTGCCGGGATCCACACCTGTGAACCAGGGCCATCAAAGTGGAATGCGCTGAACTTAACCACTCCGCCATGGGGCTGGTCCCAGAATATTTTTAATATCTCCTTTATGACTCAACTGAGGCCTTTGAGTTTAGCTCAATTGTGAGACAGTACAAACCTAGCAAGAGCAAGAGACAGGACCACTCTGCCAGTCAAGGCTTTCTTTCTCAGAGACTGTGCTCTTGATGCTAATGTTTCAACATCCCTCACAAGCTCTGCACTACAGAGGCAGTGTACCCAATTCAGCTTAAACAAGGCCCAGTAAGATTTGGATATAGCAGCATGAAAAAGACAATTTCTTGCAGTCAGGGTGCTTATATGTTTGTGGGAAAAGACAGATGATTAAGAAATGGAAGTAAGGGATTTCCATCCCTTATTGAAGGAAAGTAAAAAACAACATTGAGCTAATAAGGAGGCTGAGGTGTGTACATATCTTTTCTGTGAGGGGAGGAGCCTGTAAGTGTGGATGTCATTATCATTAACTGAGAGTTGAGACTTCCTATTGATTTAAGCCACAGATATTTGTGGTGTATTTTTGTTTTTAATGTCATTTGAGAGGATTTTTACTTTACCTTTAAATATTTAAAATGTTATAGTCTTTGGCATTTTCATTTGGTCTTGTACAGACTGAGTGGGCACCATATACCCCATTAAATGGAGTTCCTCCCATGTAGAGAAACAGTTGCACCCATCTGCACTGTTCTAGCTCATGATGAGTGTGTTCTATGAGTAGAGTGATATCTATGCAAGTCCACTGTGATCTCCCAGTGGAAACCCCAAAAGGAGCTACAAATGTTCAGAGGCAATTATCCATGTAATAATTGAGGTGAGCTGCAGAGAGAGGGTGTCATTTAGAGTAGTATCCTCATTGAGTATAAAAGAAGAAATGGGAAATTTTCAACATCTTTTCATCACAGGAGTGGCTGGAAGTCTCTTGTGTCAATGACCCACAAAGCCCCATCACCCATTTAGCTGTTCACAGGTTTCATTTCCATATGCTTAGACATCCAGCACGTGGTGTGGAAAAGTGGGAAACAGCAGCAACAGCTTTGAGGTTTAAAACTGCAAAGGAAATGGAATATTTTCCTTTTCTTTTTTTAGGGTTACTTACATATTATAGGACTTGGTCCTTAACAGGCCTTTCTTGCAACCTTGTCTTAGTTGAAAAAACATCTGCCCTCATCTCATACTCATAACTAGGGGTGAAGTGAAAGGGCTCCCAGAATCTGTCTTTGAGTTTAAATCGTGTTCTGTGGACAGATCTTTAGAAATACTGTGGTTCTAAAGCATAAAGGTGTCTCCTAAGTGGGATCTGTCTGGGGACATCCTCATTCATGTGCATCAGCATCATTTCTTTCCATTAATTTCCGTAGACCATTTCCAGCTCTTCATTTCCCACCTCAAGCCTACTCTGTGCCTGCTTACTTGGAAACATCTTTAGAAATCCACACATGTCCCACTCTGCAAAATTTGTCTGGGGCAACAGGAGGGGGCTGTGAGCTGAGGGGGGGACAGAAGCAGTGGTGGAACCCATGTCACGGGCACAGTCTGTCAGCCACAGCAACCACAAACATCCCATATTTATCAGATCTGCTTGCTTACTTATTCATACAACACTTAGAAATTGAGTGATTTTGCTCCAGAATTTTTTGAAATAGCTGTCCCTCCATCGGCATCTCTTTTCACACACCCCTTTACCATAACCGCCCCCATTATGCATCCAAGAGTCTCTAAACTTCTCAGAGTGGACATAAATTGCCCAAGACATTCTTGTATGGAAACTATTCTCATCCAGTGCTCCATACAATTAGCAAAGCCAACAGTAGCAAATGACAGAGTCTTTATGTAAATGGAGGCCCTCTCATGACCTGAGTTGATAATCCTCTACAGCCAGCTTCTTGTTTTGCCTTGAGTCTTGAATGCAGGACCCCTCAGGCTTGCTAACCAGAGGAATTTTCATTGAAGAAATTTGGGTATTTAGAAGATAAAGCCAAAAATGATGCTTCTGGCATATCCTAGTTAGAGAAGGAAGTATGTTCCCCTCTTCTCTGATTGACATAATCCTTATGGAGGAGGTCACTTCCTTTTCAGGTGCAATGGCCACTCTGGGAATCACCTGGGAGCACATGACTAACCAGGGTGTTCATATACTTTATAGAGAGTGTGCTGCCACCACAGCTGATGGAGTCCACTACAGAGATGCTGTATTCTTTTCCTAGATCGAACAGGCCATCTTGGATCAAAGATTGGACCCAGGCATGAGATCAATTAGTCAAACTCCAGACAATCATGCTAGCAACAAGAAATTCCCTGACCAAGAATTGAACTTGTGCACATTTTTACAGATCCCTTGGCCATTGCCAATGATTTAGCTGTCTTGTTCCATCACTAACAACAACTCCTTACCCAAGATTGCACCTATGGCATAAAGGACTCTGGAAATATCTTGCCTCACAATAACCCAACTACAAAACAGGTCACTCTTTCCTCTGCACATATCAACCCTCAGTCTGCATAGGCTCATGTCATTGCTCACGGTGATAAATTGACCCAAATTTCTGAAACACATACCAGCACCTCAGACCTGATGGTTTTAACCTTGGCTGGTTGATCCCACATAATATGAAACCATTTGGAGGCCTCTAACCTAAAGGTTTAGGGAAAATCCAAGAGACTTCCCTTCTCTGCCATGGCTGCCTTAGTGACTGAAGCAGCTAATGTGAAAAAACAAGGCACTGGTAATATAATCAAAGGACATACCTTGAAGGCCAGGGAGGGGATCCCTAGAGCTGATGGTGAATAGACATTGTAGGGCCCCTCACCCCCTCTGCTGGGGCACTTGCTATGCTCAGATCATGTTAGAAACACATAGAAAAATTACTCATGCTGTCATGCAGAACCTGAAAACAAATTGCAAGGACTTAGCAAGATACTCCAGAAATTATTGATATTATCAACTCACTTATCAAAATACAAGACACTGGGCTCTTGAAAAAGGTATTCCATGGACCTTGTACCTTTCAAACAACCCTGGGCTACCACCTCAAGGGATAGCCTAATGGCTGACTTAGACAAATCTTCCTGTCTTCTAAATAGGTCTTCATGCTATTTGCATCATTAGTTAGATTCAATCCCCAGTCTTTAGGGCCTATTACTTTGTCCCGATCATCAGGCTTATTGGCATCTTATAAGTAAAGCCTTTCTATTCTAGACATTTCTCTCAAAATGGTCACTCCTATAGGTCTTTCATTTCCTATAATAGTGCACACTGGCCACCACTCTTATATCACACTCCTGGGTCTTCCTCCTAACATCACTGGTAGTGTTTGTAGCCTGTGTGTCAATATTTCATTTTGGCCATGCTCCCTCCAAACCCTTGGAGCACATTGAACACAAATGTGCTATTTTCCTACCATTTGCATGCACATCCTTATTATAGTAGGAGTCACTGGTCCTGACCTGGGCACACATGATGTCATTCAACAAACACATCCTTAATGCCAATCAAGACATGTCCGAAACACTCCAAATATATGTAGTAGACAGCTAATGTTTGAGATGTTTTCCATGAAGGAAAACCCCCTGGCAGCTACCGTAGCCGATAAGCACTTGGCTTTGGACTATTTCTTAACCAACCAGGGAGAACTTTGTCCCCCTAAAAGGGCTATTTGCTGCATGTAGGCAGGCTACACTGGCAAGGTGCCACCAATAACACAAGAAATGAGACAACAAATTAAACAGTAACATTACTTAAATATTTGACCAGAGTTCTGGAACCACACTGACACCCTTTCCTGGATGTCTCCAACACTTTGGAATGACTGAATTCAAATGTGTTTTTGAGGCTTTGTCATCTTAGATATGCTCCTTGTGTTTTTCACATGGCTTTTTAATTAATATTCAAATCAAATGCATTTAAATGAGATGTGTGATTACTCAGTCAACAAACCTCAGGAGAGAATTTTAATAAAGGCACTGACCTCATCTTTGGTATTTGACTTGCAATCAGCTTTAGATACCTGCTCACTCTGCCTGGTCCTCAGTGGTAAACAAGTTAGGAAGGTTCACATGCCCCTTTACTTGGTTTCAGTGAGTAAGTGGGTCAAACCTTTAAAACCTGCAGCCTCTACCCCACACTCCTTAAAGAGCCAACCCATTGTCCTTTGCACAAGCCACCTCAACCTGCTTATCCCTGCCCTTGTCTCCTTGGAAAGGACCTGTGGGTAATAAATGTGTTTCTGTTCACTTGCATGTGGTGACATAGTCTTGCCATCCAATCCCATTTTATAATTTTATTTATTTATTTTTTTCCCCAAAGCCCCAGTAGATAGTTGTATGTCATAGTTGCACATCCTTCCAGCTGCTGTATGTGGGACGCGGCCTCAGCATGGCCCGAGAAGCAGTGCGTCGGTGCGCGGCCGAGATCCGAACCCGGGCCGCCAGCAGCGGAGCGCATGCACCCAACTGCTAAGCAACGGGCTGGCCCCCCATCCAATCCCATTTTAAATGAGGTGTCAATCCTGCCCCCAAAAGGGCAATGATAACAACAGAAGGTAACCGAGCAAAAATCCTTTTTGTGGTGCACAGGTATTCAATGTAGGGAATTTTTATAAGATGAGGAGAAGAAATACAAATGCAGAGATCCCTGTATGATAATGTTTTTGGATGTATTGGTCACAAAAGTAAAATTTTGAAACCACCCACATGACTCTAGCAGTATAATCAATAAGTGAAAATGGTAAAGTCTCACAAGAGAAAATACAGAGCAACAGATGTGAATGGATAGTTTCTGTTCTGATATGTAAAGAGCTCTGAGTGATCACTCTCATCTTCACAAAAAGAATAATACTAAACACTCTGAAAAAGAGCACATCTTCTGAGATCCAGGAGAGATTTGAGGTGACATGGCAAACAATGCCCCCAAAATGAAAGCAGAATATAGAGAATTGCCATGTACCAGGAGGAGACAGGACTGGAGGCAGCCACTTTCTAGGAACATCAACTGTGGTATATGGATGGCTGGAGACATGGGATGGATTATCTTGAGAGTTAAAAACTCTAGGGGAAGCCAGCCTCAGGGCGCCACAAAATTCATGAATGTTTCCTTCAGCAGCCCAACGTGGTTCTCATAATGAAGACCAGAAAAAATTGCCTCCTACTTCATGCAGGAAACGGGGGAAAACATTTTGATGTGCACACAAAGCATTTTGTTGTCTGTAATGTAGACCATCCCTCAAAGGAAACTAAAGTGCCAAAGTCTTATCTGATTGGGCAAAGTGCAGATAGACACCTACGGACACTTCAGGTTCCTCTCTGACAAAAGGGGAGGAAATATGGGTGCTAAGAACCTGTTCTGAAGTAAATAGTCCAGGGACTCTTTACCACCAAACATTGCAGGTTTCATCATAACAGAAGAGGACATTTTCTCCTTCAAGAACCTGACACCATATCAGCAGGGCCCCGGGATTAAAACAGTGGATTAACACAGACACCTGCAAGACACAGATTCTACTAGAGAATGAGTTTCTAGGGGCCAGCCCAGTGGCGTAGCGGTTAAGTGTGCGCACTCCACATCGGCAGCCCCGGGGTTCGCAGGTGCGGATCCTGGGCACACACTGATGCACCGCTTATCAAGCCATGCTGTGGTGGCGTCCCATATAAAGCAGAGGAAGATGGGCACGGATGTTAGCCCAGGGCCAATCTTCCTTGGCAAAAAGAGGAAGATTGGCATCGGAAGTTAGCTCAGGGCCGATCTTGCTCACCAAAAGAATAAAAATAAAAAAAATAATGAGTGTCTAGGGAAACCCAAACACACCAGGGAGATAAGCACAAGGAAGTTACAGACTATGAAGCCCCTGACACCTCCAGCTGCAGCAAACATTAAACATAGTCTGACATCTATTCAAGAAATCATAACACCTCACTCTAAAGGCCTATGTATCTCAAATCTTATTGTGAAAATTCACAAGTGCATGGAAATTAAATAACACACCCTTGGAAAAACCACTGAGTCAAAGAAACAATCAAAAGGGAATTTAGTATATTTGCTGTTGAAGCAAGCAAAAGGAAACTTAAAAAATATCTCAAGACAAACAAATATGAAAAGATAAGAAAACTTGTAGGATGCAGCATAAAGAGAAGTAAAAGGGAAGTTTGTAGTGAAAAGCATCTATATTAAGAAAAAAAATATCAAATTAACAACCTAAAATTTCACCTTAAGGAACTAGAAAAGGAACAACAAAGTAAGCACAAAGTTAGCTGAAGTTAGGGAATAGTAAATATTAGAACAGAAATGAATAGAAAATAGAAAAAAATAGTTTCAATTTTTTGAAAAAATAAACAAAATCAACAAACCCTTAGCTAGACTAACAATGAAGAGAGAATACTTAAGTATATACAATCAGAAATGAAGGAAGACATATCACAATGAACACCTAAAAAATAAAGAGGATCAAAGTGAGTATTATTGTCACCGACTAGGTGCCCTGAGGAACTGAAACGTGGGTTTGGAAGCATTTAACTGTTTTTCCAAAATTTTCCCCCTTTTGTTATGTCAAGGAGAGGCAACCACCAACCACCCTGAACCAGACCAAGCCTCAGCACAAGAGCTATGCCCCTGACCTTTGTCTTACTTTTAATGCCAGTATCTCTCCAGGAGGAGCTTAGGCCTTATCACCATAACCTGCAGTGTATGTGGAAGCATGTTTTCCAACTGAGCCTGTGTAAGTGAATACCTGCCTCTCCCTTTTGAATATTCATTCTCCATCCAAAATAAAAAGTCCCTGCTTCCCTTTGTTCAGGGACACCATGACTTTGGAAATGATTCCTCATGGTCTCCTATTTGCTGCAAATATGCTTAACTTTATGAGACAACTTCCACTGGTGTAGAGTCTTATTTAACTCTCCAGGAGGTGAACCCACTTGGTTCAGTAACATGAACATTTATATGAAAACAAATTGCATAACTTAGAAGAAATGCATAAATTCCTAGAAAAAGAAATGCATAAATTCCTAGAAACATGCAACCTGCC